TTTAAAAAGGTAAAATATTACCTTTGACAATAAATTACAGATAGAGAAATATAGTTGACAATTACAGGATATAAAAAGATGATTTGTGTGTGTGTGTGTGCGATTGTTTTGTTACTAAATGTGAACACCTTATAAATCCTGTAATAATTAGTGAGTTCTTGATCAATGCTTTGTTTGAATTCATGTGTAGTGCCTCCACATATATTCCATTTAGCTTACATCTAACTTGGTTAAGCCCTTTCGATTTATTTGTTTAACCAAGCCATTTGTGTATTGCAACAATTTATATATTGTACCATTCGTTCTTATTATTATTGTCTGGTTTGTATGATGAGCTCACATGATGTGTTCCACTTGTCATTTGACCTTGTCAATCATTCGTCGCTTTTATTCATGTGTTCCTGTTTCGCTTGTCGTATGTCTGTCTTATATTTGTCCGACGATATATTCTTAGTCACGCTGTATCTCTTGGAGTTGGCTCATTAGCCTTCTCCAACGCGCTTCTCCTGTTCATCCGCTTCCTTTGCCCATTCGTTCACATTGTAATCCAAGGAGTTGGCTCAACAGCCTTCTCCAATTCACGTCGCTTCATTCGTTTTATCCGCTGCTTCTCCACATCGCTCCATACGATTCGCTTCAGTCGCTTATTCGCTCGCCAGTGCTCTACACTTGAATTACGTTTGCCTCTAGGATGCGTGATCAATGATGTCTGGATTTCAACAGTGAACATGTATCATTTAAACGTTGAATCAATGTAAACCAACTCATTTGTTCTAAACAAATAACCATTATTGATCAATCTCAAGAAATAACATGGTTTTTATGCTTGATCAGTCATTTGCATGCACTCCATTTCTGTTTTTCACCATGATAATTCGAAAATAATCAATACTTCATCATATAACGAGTTTCTAAACAACTTACTTTACTCACATCTGTTGCCTTCAATGGAGCATAGGCCACCGACCAGTATTCTCCCCCTTTCCAGTTCTGTCCAATTTCTGTTCATTCTTCTCATGCTGGTCTTCATTTCTCAGTCGAATGTGTTCTCCAACCTTCCCCTTTTCCGTAGGTGTTGAGAATTCCAGTTGAGGGCTTGTCTTGTGACTCAGTTAGGTGCTTTCCGTAAAATGTTTCTTATCCACTTCCAGAGATTCTTCCTCAACAACTGTTACTCAAACAATCAGTCATTGTAAAACACTTCAAAAATAAAAGAAATTTTCAAGCACATATAAATAACGTAATACCACCGACTGCCTCGTTGAGCTTTGTTTTGTAGTGTAGGAATAGGTTGGAAAAAAGTTAGGGGCGGCCAAACCAAAACATGGCACAAATCCATGAAGTCATTGACGAGTGGAATCAGCCATGTCGGTAGTTGTCGACTACCTGGTTGGGGTCCGCGAGATGATAGTAACCGATGGTTAGAGACCTTGAATGACATGGCTCAAAATCGTTCGCAATGGCGCAGGTGCATTCATTATTTCAAATCCTAATCTTCTGGGTTATTCAACACCTCTAGTTTTGACTTTCTAAACTCATCTCATTGAATCATACTTCTTGAATAATATCTTCTAATCTTAACATCTCCGATTACTTCTAATACCTTTACTACCTCTTCTACTATTGGATTTGAATTGACAATTATATCTCTGTGCTGATGTGGTATGGCAACATGAACTGATGTACTTACGTACGAAGTTCTACGTTGCATCTGACTGACTGACCTGTACCTCCAAAAAACGGTTATTACATCATCATAATCCTATATGCTGATGCTTATTCACCATTGTTTACAATGTGCTTTCAGCGTTTAGGAATTCAATATCTCTATAAGTTTGTTTACAAAACGATTGACCACATTCAGTAGTACTATTTCCCGATGATTGATAGATTTAGTTGATTGATACATTTTCATCAAAAAGAAAACAATTTCGTTTTTTTCGGTTAACAGAAAATTGAATTCAAACTTTTCAGTGTTGATTTGCATTTATTTTTTATTGCTGAAAACTTTTTTATCAGTGTCAGGTTACCTGCCCCGCATAAACAAATTTCATCGTAAACATTTTTGGGCAGAGTTTTGGAGGTTTTGCGTTTTTACACACATTTTGAAATCATCAATCAATCATTTTTAGACCAACATTAGAAACCTGGAAGCACTGAAAGACGTCTGTTTCGTCCTGGTATGGGACTCATCAGTGGATTCGAACCCAGGACCTTCGGTATTGTGTGTGAACGCCTAGACTTTGGACCACCGAGCAGGCATCCAACGATGTTAATGTCCAACTCTGACTGATCTAGGGATTTCGCGCGAAGGTCTGAATGTCCAGGGTTCAAATCCTGCGAGGTGCAGGAGTCATGGATGCGCACTGCCACTGATGAGTCCCATACCAGGACGAAACCGCCGCCGTTCAGTGAGTAACAAAAAAAATTCAGATAATAAGTTTCATGCTTGTTTGTGTGTCTGTTTGTTTTTTTTCAATCGATTAATGATAGATTTTTCAAAAAATTCATTGAAGGCATACCATTTCACTTAGTTGTTGCACATTAGCAGAGATAATGATAACCTTAATTTTTAAATGATGCATAAATTATGAAACTTACTTTTTTGTTTGTTTGTGAATAAACGCATTTTTTTAAAGGATGAAAGACGATTAAATTTTTTTGAAAATAAAAATAGATTCATTGCAATCCATTCAACCGAAACTATATATATATATATATATATATATATATATATATATATATATATATATAGACGTTAGACGGCCTGAAAGTTCAAAGAAGTTTAAACAAAATAAAATAAAATTTATCTATTTATATATATTTTAATCAGTAGGTATTGTAGTTTATTTAAAAAAATAATTAACTGTAAGCATAGTGTAACACCAATGGGAAATGTATCAGCAATCAAGACGGTTCTGAACAAGTAACAATCATTCATCACTGAAATGTCAAATAACTCTCAATGAGATAGGATTATTGCGTACTCTATTGTATTAGAGTTTTTCTTTAATAAAAATTAACTTGTTATATCATTTGAAAACCTTTTAAATGAATAGTAATCACAAGTTTACTAGTGTGATGGATGACTAAACTTACTTACTTACTTACTTACTTACGCCTGTTACCCCCATTGGAGCATAGGCCGCACAACAATTTTCTCCAACCAACTCTGTCAGTCCTGGTCTTACCTTTCCAGTTCCACCCAACGTATGTTCATTCCTCTCATATCTTTCTCTTTTTCTCGGCGTAATCTGTTCCTTCGCCTTCCACTTTTCCTTTTGCATTCAGGGTTTCAAGTGAGGGCTTGTCTTGTGACGCAGTTCGGTGGTTTTCATAGTGTGTGTCCTATCCACTTCCACCGCTTCTTCCTGATTTCCTCCTCCACTGGGATCTGGTTTTTTCTCTCCCACAGTAGGTTGTTGCTGATGGTGTCTGGCCAACGAATCCGAAGTATTTTGAGTAGACAACTGTTCATAAACACTTGTATCTTCTGGATGATGCCTTTCGTAGTTCTCCAAGTTTCCTGTTTTTCTGTCTTGACATTTCTATTGAAAATCGTGATTTTGGTTTTGTTTGAAAGTTGTTTGGAGTTGTAGATATTTTTCTACTGTAGAAATGCAACCCATGCTTTGCCGATCCGTGCCCTCACATCTGCATCGGATCCACTTTGATTGTCGATGATGCTGTCCAGATATGTAAAGGTGTTAACGTCCTCCAAGGCATCTCCATCAAGAGTGATTTGGTTGGTGGATGTTTTGTTGCATCGGAGAATTTTGCTTTTTCCTTTATGTATGTTGAGACCTACTGCTGCAGAGGCTGCTGCTGCTACACTGGTCGTCTCCTCTTGCATTTGTTGTTGCGTCTGCGATAGAAGATCCAGGTCATTTGCGAAGTCCAGATCGTCCAGCTGCGTCCTAACTGTCCAGTTGATACCATGCTCCCCTCCAGATGTTGACGTCTTGATAATCCAGTCGATGACCAGGAGAAAGAGAAAGGGTGAGAGTAAGCAACCTTACCTGACACCGGTCTTAACCTCGAAAGAGTCTGTTAGCTGTCCTCCGTGCACAATTTTGCAGTTGAATCCATCATAAGAATTGTGTATGATTTTAACCAACTTCTCAGGCACACCGTAGTGTCGAAGAAGCCTCCACAATGTTTTCCTATGATAGATGTTTAAATTTCTAGTTTAAAACCCAACAAAGTGTATTGTTCAACTATGTGAATGAAAATTTACAACAGTTACCTATCACTTTTAGTGTTTGGTTTTCATAAAATACAACTAGATAATTGAAACTGTAAAGTTAAACCATTAGACCCTAGTACTCACAATGTGAAACATTGATGTACGGCGTTAGACTATTTATTAGTTCCAGACAAGAACTTAATAGTTGTTCGATACTCCCAGTCTTTATTACATACTTAGTAAATATCAATCAGTAAAGTAAACCTTTTAACCAACACAACACAGAGTTTATATTATCAATAATTCAAACTACTTGACAACATTCCTTCAACAGATTCTTTCTTTCAATCATTTTCACTTCAATACAAAATTATTCATCTTCAATACAGAGTAAGTAATTAATCTTACTGTTATATCAAAATTAATTAAAACGGACTAATATTAGTAACAATCAAATCTTATTCTCAGCATAAATGACATTTCATTCAACATGTCACATGTACTGCTGGTATTTTTCAACCGATAAAAATTTGCCTCGGTTATATATACAAATATATATATACAAATATATATATATATATATATATATATATAATGAAATATTCGAAATTCCCCAATCACATCTGATTATGTATCTATATGACCGATGCGAAATGATTGAGTTTTTCTATTTGTCTAAAAGAGAAATAATTACAATGAATAAAAACATATATACATAAATATGGCTGACAAGTGCTACTTTTTCAACTTTACCTTCCTAATGACATGACTGTCATAACTGATTTACAATATTTACAAGAACAGAAAAAAAAATATGACATTCCATTCGGGTGGATTGCATACTGGTCATTTTATTATTAAATGTGATCACCGCGCGATAAGAAGTAATTGTCGATAAAAAAAAACGAAAATTACTTATAAAATAATTCAACTCTTTGCTTTGCTTAAAATAAATTATACACACTTCATATTAATATAAAATGTTGGAAATTAAAAAAAACTATTGAATATTGAGACTATGATCTGGAGGTTCCAATGTTCGCGTGCAAAGACCGAAGGTTCTTCAGTTTGATCATCAAGAGTGAATGTGACGGATACGCACTGCAGAAGAGTCCCGTAGGATTTGATTGTGACCAATTTGGTCTCGTGTGTTGTCACGGGTATGAGGGTGGTTGTCACTTCCCGGCTGCCCACACCGTGAAAGGTTGTTTCGTGAAGAACCTGAAAAGGAAGGTAGATTAGCGTTGGTCCTAGAGACCTGGGTGCGTGACCGCAGAGCACAAGGGACAACTGCTTTAGGCCGGCCACGTACGGCCTGTTTATGAAGGGTTTTTTGAAAATTAGCTCCGCTCTTGAAAGCCCTTAGTGGGCACCCTCACCGACGGAGACGGAAATCCTCTGCGGCGCCTCCTCTCTGTCCACCGGACTGTCGAACTCCGTCATCAGCCGCCCGGTGACCGTCTCCCACGCCGCCTTCCCGGCGGCATCGTATACCGCCTTTGCCTCACCTCCTCGCAGCGTCCCCAGCACCGCCACGGGCCCTACCAGCTCCACCGCGGCATCAAACTCCACCAGGAAGCTACGCAAATCTCCGTCCTCCAACTCCTTCGGCCACGGGAGCTCCTCCCTTCGAGCAGGCGGCGACACAAAATGTAGTGAACGAGGACACAGGTGGGGCAACCGAATTGTATTTAACGAAAATTTACAGAGTTGTTACTCAGTAAAATCGGAAAACCATATCGTAAATCGTTAATTTGCAAACTATCAGTTCACCATATCGAAGTGGACTGTTCCTGTTGCAAAACATCAATCCATTGTCACTATTCATGCGTTTCATGCAAATTCCATTGTGTTCTTTTAACTCTTCCTTTCTTGATGTTCCCCCATCTTCTGCTGCCAGACATTACGTTGACACTTACGTCATATACTACTTATAAGTAGCTCGCACCACAGTAGTACCATGTTAATTTCTTACTGATGAACCAAATCAATCATATTTACATCAAGCATAATGACACATTTATTATAATGCAGACTTTATTCGAGATGCTGCAAAAACTTGGCGAATTCGAGATAACTCTAAACAATACTTTCCGAGTCCCACTGGATATACTTAAATAAGAGTTTACCAAATTGATTGAGCAACTAAAAATTGTTTAATCCCTTTGCCAGGAGGCGCTAAGCTTTTAAACTCTCCATCATAAAGAATTTATCGCTGTTGACTCCGTCAGTAGAATTTCGAAGAGGTACACATCAGGAAGACATCAATCAATAATAGTCGAACAAAAGCAGAGGATGTCAAGGCGCAGTCCAGATACACAGAAGCAAATAATTATTAGAGCTGATAATCGGTAATATTTTGCAAAACCTTGCTATGATAGCGGAAAAAGCTGCCAAAGAAAGAAATACTGAACAACTACTGTGCTATAAAACTAAAATTTTAGCGGGAAAATATTATAAACGACAGCGACTAGTCAAGAAGAAGGAAGGCAAACCGCAGAACATGTGGGTAAAACACTACAAAGAGCTCGTGTATAGACCGGTCTCACTGAACCCACAGTTCAAGGAATCAGCACACACTTACATAACGATAGATATTATCCCACCATCAATCGAAGAAATCAGCATGACCATCATCAGACAAATCAGAAGGAGATAGATAGAGCAAAGGGAGCGATATTGCAGCTGAAGCACTGAAGTCAGATACAGTAGTTGAAAGATGCCCCACGTTGTCTTCTGAAAGATTTAAGATAAACGACAAATAACAGCAAACTAGAAAGAAGGATACTTCATCAAGATACCCAAACAATAAACGAGATCTTAACAAGCGTAAGGTCTACCAAGGTACCGCACCATTATCAGTAACAGTAAAAGTCTTCAAGAGAGTTACTGGACAGAAAGATCATCACAGATGCTCAACTTCGAATCCAACAGCCTGGACTCCGAAAGAATCAGTCGTGTTCCAAACGAATCGCAACAATAAAGGATCATTACTGTACAATTATCTGAATGGAACTAACTTATCACCATAAATCAACATCCTTGACTATGTAAAATCATCATCATGCTTATTAGATCAAATATGCTGAGAATATACACATATATACTAAGCTCACCAAATAATTGAAATGTTAATAACATATTGTGGTGGTGTTTTGTCCTCTGAGCTGGTTCTTTTGGTTGTGGAGCTTTCATTGTTCTTCTGAACAACATCATCAGCACAAACTTCAGATAGAAGTGAAGCGCATTCGAATTTCTCCACGTTTGACCTGTTCTGCTTGTTCTGCTAACCTCGATCTTGATTGGTTGCTGTTGACCTTTGACCTGTCGTTGTTTACACCATTGTTTAGATTGCATCCCCCTTTTGATCTGTTTCTCTTGCTCCTGTGACACCTATGATTTTCCTGATGGGTTGATTGATTGGGTCAATGTCGATGTGTTTGTCGACTGTTGATTGACTTGAGTGCCAAGTTTCTAAAACTTCCCTAGTGTTCTTTGTCCTCCCCCTATCCAGTATTTCCACATTGTTCCAATCAAATGTGTGTCCATAATTGTCGGTATGTATTGATATAAGCGAAGCGTTGTCGTGGCGTTTGACTGCTAATTGATGTTCACGTAAACGAAGCTGGAGAGATCGTCCACTTTGTCCTATGTAGGGTTTTTCACAGTTTGAGCAGTCATTTATTTTGTAGATAACAGTTGGTTTTTCTCCCTTTGTCATAGGATTGATTGAAGTGATTCTGTTGATTTGTGTGCTACACCTATTCCAAACGATTTTGAGGAGTCGTGCTGTATGCTCCGATATATCTTTGATGTATGGCAGGATGATGCGTTCATTATTTGTTCCTGTGCTTGATTTCGCTTCTGATGATGGTTTCGGTTGATGTTTTTTTGATGTGAAGTTGCGTGAATAGCCTTTCTTTTAACTAAAGATAGTTAATAACATATGATCAAAAATTGAAATTTCTCAAATACTTCTGTCTTTTTTTTACTTAAAAAAAAACACTAAAAAGACCGGAAGAACTTTATTTAAAATTATTTATTTTGTTTTGTTTGTTTGAAATTCCCTCCGTTTCTAGATTTTTCTTTTTTCAATTAGTTCAAATAAACAATAATATTTTGATTCAAGCTCTATTTTTATAAAAACGATGAATCCGTGACACTGATGAAAAATAATAATGTTGTTTACTCGTTAACAACTATATATTACAAACAAATGTCTTTTCAGCATATTCTTAAATAAATTAATCATCCTAATCAAATATTGAACATTGAAATGCATTGAATAGATAAGATGACAAATATAGATTATTTTAAAGATTCCCATTGTGAAAATTAGAACAACACATATAAGCGAACAATATTGTTTTCGATTAGATCGTCATCAGGCTTTACTCTAATATACATGAATATTTATATGAAAATGTTAAACCAATCAAGGCAATTTGAGTGATAATCACAATGAAATGAAAAAGATTACGTAACTACATCTAATAGGCAAAAGTTCAAGTGGATAATAGGAAAACAGGTGTACTGATAGTAGTAAGAAAATTTGTAAAATATGATAACCAAAGTAGGTCAAGGGTGGGTGAATAGAATTCAAATAATCATCAAAAACGTCAAAAACATTACGTAATAAGCAAATGTGTAAAAATAAAATAAAATAATAAATCAAAAATAATAAAAATAAAATATGTCAATCATTAGTTACGTCATATCCGGCCACGGAAGAGATAAGGGTGTCACGAATTTCTTCTGAACACATAAATTGGGGTTGAATGTACGTATTCCTATGGCTTGTTTTGTTTTAACACACTCACTCACTCACTCATGAAAAATCGATTTTTGTAAAAGAAAAGAAAAAAAATGTTAACTGCATAAAGTGTGTATGTAAATATACTTTAAGCATGATTACTAACTAGTTCATAAAATCTTTTAAAAATGAAATTACAATTTCAAATGAATTTTCTATTTCTAGGTTGTCAGTGAATCTTTTTATAACTTGTGTAGAGTAGGAATTTTTTGTCTCTTCTGACTGTAGAAAATTTCTTGTTTTTTTGTTTAAATAAATTGGCTAAAATCAGGATTAAAAGAATAGTTCAGCTTGTCTAGGTTATTGTATGTCCCTGATTTCATATTCTGTTGGGTAATACTAATACAAGCATAACACTGGAGTGTGTGTGCACTTTTATGTCGACTACACATGGGCTCCGTCCTTGCCTTTAGAGAAAAAAACAATTAGTCCACTATCCTCAAGTGTTAGTATTCACTCGTCTTTTTTTGACCTTGTTGTCACACTCATTTGTTCATATCTTGGTTGATTTTATTCATGTGTTTGCTTATCGCTTAACAATTATCACAAGTCTGGCTTACTTTATCTCACTGGGGATGTTAGATCCGCAGAACTCGCTTGTTAAATGCCTTATTTTGGATTTCACGATTGCGAGCATGGGCTGATCAGTTGACTTTGAGATTTCATTTCCCACCAGGAAACTCCTTGGTTGTGTGATTGGTTGCTGTGTATTTTAGTGTTCTATTTTCGTAACTGTCCCACTAGGACGTTTCTATGATGTATAAATAAACGAGAGTTGTGTGTTTGATTGTATTGCGTGATTGCTGGGTGTTTGTAGAATATACTTTCTACGCTTACTAAGTCTTCTGTTTTGAAGTTCGGGATTCAAGGTAGCCTACCTGGACTCTGGTTCATTGTCTCGTTCGCGTTTATCGACTAAAGTGAACTCGTAATAGCTTCAAGCGTACACCTAGTGACGAACATAACACATGCTTGATCGATATGAGTTGGTTCAGTCATCTTCTCTGCTTTGCATTGCTTTTATGCTGTTCACTATCATGTCTGCAATCAACGATAAAGTTAAAGTTAATATTTTACACGAGTGTAACGAATACTATCAGCTTACAAACAATGGCTTTTGCTGCTTCATACTTCAAAGCTTTTTAAAACCAATCAGTCATCTATTTTCTAACTCTGCACATAATAACTTCACTTCTCTTATTTTACATATTGAGGAACTACAATATAACTAGATGTGTTCATCACACTGTTTAAAACCCAAAAGCACATCAAAATCCCTTGCGAATACGGATGATTGACAGTTCACAAGTGTCAATGATCCATTTGAATGCAACACGCTTCACAAATAATAATCACATCTGAAAATCGATAAAGGAAAGGAATTCTCTATCGTATTAATGTAATCAAAGCAAACAGTAGTGAATAGCCAATCATTGTTAGACCATCATTTGAAACCTGGAAGCACTGAGAGACGGCCGTTTCCTCCTGGTATGGGACTCATCAGTGGCAGCGCGCATCCGCGACTCCTGCACCTCGCAGGATTCGAACCCAGAACCTTCGGTATTGTGCGCCAACTCCTAACCTTTGGACCACTGAGCCGGCATCCAACGGTGTTCATGTCTAACTCTGATTGATCTAGGGATTTTTGCGCGACCTCACCCATTTGTCTTTGGTAGTTACTGCCTACACCCGACACGGTTGAACTCCATTATTCACGTCTTCTCAACTAGAACTCCGAGAATTTCCTCACGAAGCTAGTCACTAGTGAGCAGCACTGTTACAAAATTTTGGGGCAGAGTTTTGGAGGTTTGTGTTTTTACACATTTTTTGAAATCATCAATCAATCATTCATTGTTAGGCGTTCGCGCACAATACCAGAAGGTCCCGGGTTCGAATGCTGCGAGGTGCAGGAGTCACGGATGTGCACTGCCACTGATGATTAGTCCCATACCAGGACAAAACGGCCGCTCAGTGCTTCCAGGTTTCTAATGCGGTGGCCTAACAATGATTAACTGATGATTTCAAAATGTAAAACCTCCAAAACTCTGCCCTAAAAAGTAGTGAATAAGTTTAATTGTTACGATTGATCAATTATTCAATGAATTCACAATTGACTACATTTTATCTTTGTTTTTCTTTTGACAGGTATTATTCGAAATGATTTTGTAGATGATATTATACTTGATCCAAAAGAAATTGCACGTGAATATATGAAAACATGGTTTATTTTAGATTTGATTAGTTCAATTCCAATGGATTATGTGTTATTCGCATTCAAATCCTATGAACAAGGTGAACGAGCGGAACATTTAGTACAAGCAGGTAAAAAAGAGTTTGTTTATTTGTTTGGTAATGATAAAATATAATTTCATGTTGGTACTACTTACTTACTCACTTACTTACGCCTGTTACCCCCAATTGGAGCATAGGACGCCAACCAGTTTTCTCCAACCAGCTCAGTCTGTCCTGGGCTTCCCTTTCCAGTTCTGTCAAATTTTTGTTCATTCCTTTCATGTCTTTCTCTATTTCTCGGAGTAATGTGTGTGTTCCTTGGCCTTCCTCTTTTCCTTTTGCCTTGAGGGTTCCTAGAGAGGGCTTGTCTTGTGATGCAGTTAGTTGCTTTTCGTAGTGTGTGCCCTATCCACTTCCACAGCTTCCCCCTGGTTTGTTCTCTCCCAAGGTAAATTGTTTCTGGTAGTGTCTGGCCAACGATCTGAAGTATTTTGCGTAGACAATTGTTCATAAATACTTGTATCTTCTCTGGATGATGGCTTTCATAGTTCTCCAAGTTTCCACTCCATACAGTAGAACTGTCTTGAAATTTGTATTGAAAATTCTGACTTTGGCGTTGATTGAAAGTTGGTTGGAGTTCCAGATATTTTTCAATTGTAGAAATGCAGCCCTTGCTTTCCAAATCCGCATCTTCACATCTGCATCAGATCTAACTTGCTCGTCAATGTATTTAACTTTTTTACAAAATAGTTAGATCTATCTACTTTTAATAGCTGAAAATGTTATATATTGATAATCTCATATAGTGTCTTATATATACAACTCTTATATATACATTTTTACAAAGATCAGCTAAGTTAATGATGTTAAATTAGTTTAACTGTTCTTACTTCAAAAAGATTTCCTAATTTGTTTGTCTGTTTTCTCCTTACATTTGCTTAGTCAGTGGTAATAAGACTAGTTCATTTGGACTACGTGACTCTTAATTTTCATAACAGGTAAAGTAGGCTATGTTGAGTCGTTTGAACTACTTGCTACATGCTACATGCTTGGTTGATACAGTTTAAAGTTCAAAATACTCAATTTCCATCGATAATCAGTCATGCTTCAGTCAGTCAGTCAGTCAGATGCAACGTAGAACTTCGTACATAAGTACATCAGTTCATGTTGCCATACCACATCAGCACAGAGATATAACTGTGAATTCAAATCCAATAGTAGAAGAGGTAGTAAAGGTATTAGAAGTAACCAGAGAGGTTAAGATTAGAAGATAATATTCAAGAAGTATGATGATTCAGTGAGATAAGTTTAGAAAGTCAAAACTAGAGGTGTTGAAGAATTCAAAAGATTAGTATTTGAGAGAACACAAAGAATAAATGCATCGGCGCCACTGCAAACGATTTTGAGCCATGTCATTCAAGGTCTCTATTCATCGATTATTATCATCTCGTGGACCCCAACCAGATAGTCGACAATTACTGACATGGCTAACTCCACTCGTCATTGACTTCATGGATTTCTGCCATGTTTCGGTTTGGCCGCCCCTAACATTCTTCCAACCTATTCCTACATGCTTCAGCATATTTGATTTTGGTTATCTTTAGTAAGAAAAAACATAGTAAACCGGTCTAGTAAACTAGGACGATAAAAGTTGTAGAACAGTACGATATTTAGTGTACTCTGACATATAGTTTGAATAAAAATTAGTAATGTATATAAATGTATCCAGTGATGCTAGTTCACATTTAACGTCAATAGAATATCAAATAATCTAACTGACAATGTTTGAACTTGAAAATTCTATTTTAAAATTGTTCTGAATAATGGTCAGCTTATGTTTAACTAGTTAATTTGTTAGTTACATGCAAAACTCATATCTTCATGTTACATCAGCTAAGTGAGCTGAACTTTTCAGGACGCAACAAAAGAGTCAAAATCTTTGATAAACATTGAAAGTATAATCATTCATGGAACTGAAAAGTATAAAACAACAGACTTAGTTGTTAAATAATCAGTACGTATAAACAACACTCAATTGAAGAATTTGAACTACGAATTCATTTTAAAGACTAGTTCCAGTATGTTCAAATTTTTATTGGACAAAACAGGTGTTTGATAACAAATAATCTTAAAAATATAAAATTTAGCCTATCTAAAGTTATGCAAATTTTTCTTCAGACTGATTTAATTTGAAAGATCACTGAAATTCTTCAGGTAAGACTAAATAGCTATTTCGTACTAATTCGTGACATTTTATATCTACGAACCTATCGCAAGAGGAATCTAATCCAATCCCCTTAAACCCCCTGTAACGATTAAGAATGATGTGAGAAGACATATTTTGTGAGATAGTGGTACCATTTCGTGTACCAATTCTCGTCAGTCACATACAAGCAACATGTTATTTGTGTAAATACAGTTTTCAAGATAAGGTCAAAATTTCTTATTTAGCATGACATTCACTCACTAGAACCATGATAAACAAAGGTCAACATACAGTTGTTTTTGAACACATAAAGTTGGACTTTTCCGATTAATCAAGATAGCTTCAAATACTTTGAGTGTGTGTGTGGGTTTTGATGACATGTCACAACTCGAAAGGCTGATTTTGGGTCAATTTGATGATCACTCATCATTAGATATTTTGCAATGGACGAGGCTGGGTTTCTTGATCGATCTTGAGATGACGGGCTAGGTTGATGAATCATGGATTTGATTAACCATCTTGGAATATGTTCCCCTATCCTGTCTTCCAATCGGCGATCTGTCCTACCTAAGTAACTTTCTCCGCAGTTACATGTGAATTGGTAAATACAGTAGGATTCGGACTGAATCGGTCTTGGAGACTTGATTGGGGTAACTGAGATAGATTGGGTTGTTGTGATAAGCCTCAGATTAGCTGCACTGAAAGTCTTATTTTACTGCAGCTGCAGTCTGTTTGTTTGTAACTTTCATGCAATGATCACCCTTGAAAGATAACTGTAAGTACACTGGTTTCTTGGGTACATCAAAACTGTATTTACACAAATAACATGTTGCTTGTATGTGACTGACGAGAATTGGTACACGAAATGGTACTATCTCACAAAATATGTCTTCTGATTTCTCTATTCAAATTTATCAAACGGAACCACTGTTAAGAATGATGTACCTAAAATTAACTAATTTCAACAGGAACGTTCCGGAGTTCTAGTAAGCAATATTTGAATTCAACCATGTTCAGGATGAAACAGTTACTCATAAAAAATACATCATAAAACGGTTGTGCAGCACACCGAATTGATTTAAGCCAAACATGAAAACCACCGGATGTACAATACCAAAGATGATTGGTTCGGTTTCCTAGGGTGAGTTCATAAATGCCGAAAAAGCCTATCGGTCCTTACCAATTTCACATGGCTATTTAACACTAAGAGACTATTGTGACTTTGGTATGAAACAATCGGAATTTTACATTCACAAAGTAAAAACCTTTGTATTTCACAGATGTTTATTTACACAAACACAATCGCTACCTCCTTATCCATCGGTGTAGAGCAGTGTGTTTTAGTTGAACTTTTTGATGAAACTCATTCTTTCAAAAGCTGTCCGAGCACTTTCCTAATTTCTTACAAGATTATCAACTGAAATGATAATGATTAATTGTTGAGTGTAGGCAAAAATACAAAGTCAAGCTTTTTTTTCTAAACTGGATAGAACACATTCTCACAAAGAATGTCAGCATTCCGAAATGGTTCATCACAATTTTAATTACATCTTGATAATCAGTGCATAAATGAAATATGGCGTCAAATGTCTTTATTAAGCAATTCGATAAGGAAAGTGTCTTTTAAATCAACTTTTATCAAACAGTTATAATGAAATTTAACTCAGCACTGAATGTAATCCCATCGAGGTGATATCGATATCTGTTCGTTCTAATTTACGAGAAAGGACAGAAATTCTTTAACAATGAACAAACAGGAATCGCTTTAACTGACATCTTATTTTGAAACAATAGCCTTAATAATTATTTGACGTATCATTAATTCAATTGAAGATTATACTACTATGCATACTACTTATTTTATTGTTTATTGGATTGATTATAACTTGACAACTTAATAAGCTTGTTGTTTGAGTGACTCAGAGCTACGGTTGATGCATAGCCTTACGTTTCTCTGGCTATCAAACTTCTGGTTGTACGTTAGACCAAGGCTTTAGGAGGTTCTACAGTTTGTGGAAGGGCCAAAGGTGGAACCACGCTTCCTAATATCGACCAAAGTAGCGGGTGTGTTAAAAGGAAAAGGGGTGAAAATATCAAAAAGATTTGCGAGGAGTATTCCGTTAAAGTTACCATTCCTGATAGCAACGGCCCTGAGAGGGTCCTGGTTCTGGATGGTGATCTCGGCTCTATAATCGAAATACTCAGAGAGAATCTTGAGAAGATGTAAAGTAATCGCGATGGCGGAGTTGATTTGCGTCTACTTGTACATCACAGTCAAGCCGGATGTGTTATTGGAAGGGGTGGATATAAAATCAGGTCTCCACACTCTATCAGATGTTGTGTCCATGTTCTACTGACAGGGTAATTCAGTTGGTAGGTGATTTGGGTAACGTACTCGATTGTCTGCGATCTACAGCTGAACTTATTGAGGGTGCTCCACCTAAAGGCTCTCGCCAGAACTACGACGCCCGAAATGTAGATGAGTTGACTTCTCTCGAGTACGGAGGTTGTAGCATAATTAATCAAGGTCCTGGATTAAATTTTGTCCGTAGCAGGAATAATGTGGCCAATACGAGTTACCCCCAAAATAATATACTCACTACTGGACATTTTGGTGGTGGGTGCTTCTGGAACCACAGGACGCACCAATGGGCAAACGACTTCTGTTAAGCAATCACTATCTGGGGGTCTCCCTCACGCATCAGCAGCAGCCATGCTTGCTGCGACTAGTGGTCAAACAACTGGTGGGCCTAATCCGACTACAAGTACACAAGTCTCCGTTAGCAACAAGATGATTGGTGCTATCGTGGGTAGATCTGGTTGTCGTATCAATCAAGTTCGTCATAAATCAAACGCTGATATAAAAATTAATAAACAAAAACCCAGTGTTGAAGATCGTATCATAACAATAACTGGAAGTCCTGAACAAATTTGAAAACGCTCAATTTCTTCTTCAGATGTGCGTTAAACGATATGGTGATCAAATTTGATTGCCTACTGTTCATTCTGTTTTCGTTTCTTTCCAACTCTTCCGTATCTTGCGGAACTAACATACCAAACCCACACCCACATCATGGACCAAAACCTTTTATAAACAATCCTTCCAGTTCACGAATCACACAAATGAGATTTTCTTTACCTTTTCCAACATATACTATTGCTTCTTTAAGTAGTATATCTCATTTTAAACTAAATAATAATATGGAACACCAACGATGAATAAAAAATGTCAATCCTTAAAATTCTTATTGTTGTCACTAATAACATTCTTTACCTGTAGAAAAAAACTCGTAGGAAATAAATAGTCTGCCAACAGGAAATCTTCAACTAACTTACATTTCCATGTATTCCCGAGTACTTATTCATACTTATGATGTCTTTCTCTTGTGCATTTTGCTCTATGATGCAAACAGGTGATGATTTTCGTATTGTGTGCTAAAAAAATGCTTCTGAAAAAGGTGGACAAAATCGATTTTATAAAATAACTTCATCTCAGACATTCATATTTGTTAAATTCGACAATTTTTCAATAGCAAATGCAGCTTAAGAGTTGAGTACATTTTTTTGTTATGCAGTAGAATATAGTATGCCTACATCATGTGTCAATGGATTGAATTCCGTATGAGATCTCGATTACCTGAGCCAATATGAGACTGATGCCAAGCTAAAAGTTAACCAATTTTTCAATTAGAGTTATGGAGATTAGTGTTTTCCTTTTTTTACACATTTGAATTCAGCAATCAATCAATAATTGTTAGACCATCACCATTAGAGAAACTTGGAAGCACTTGGACAGCCATTTCGTCCTGGTATGGGACTACTCACTAGTGTTAGTGTGCATCCACGATTCCCGCTGCTCGCAGCATTCGAACCCAGGACCTTCGGGTATTGTACGCGAAGAACGCTTAACCAAATTACTGATATTCATAAAAGAAGTTAATCTATGAACAACAAGTATTATAATACGACTGGATTATGAAGACGTCGACATCTGAGGTGGGAAGCACGGTATCAACTGGACAGTTAGGACGCAGCTAGACGATCTGGACTTCGCAGACGACCTAGCTCTTCTATCTCACACGCAACAACAAATGCAAGAGAAGACGACCAGTGTAGCAGCAGCAGCCTCTGCAGCAATAGGTCTCAACCTAGATGAAAGAAAAAGTGAAATTCTCAGATGCAGCACAACATGCACCAACCAAATCACTCTTGATGGTGGTGATGCCTTGGAGGACGTTAACACCTTTACATATCTGGGCAGCATCATCGACGAGAAAGGTGGGTCCGATGCAGATGTGAGGGCGCGAATTGGCAAAGCGAGGACTGCATTTCTACAGTTGAAAAATATCTGGAACTCCGAACAACTTTCAACCAAAACCCAAATAACGATTTTCAATCCAAATGTCAAGACAATGTTCTACTGTATGGAGCGGAAACTTGGAGAACTACGAAAGGCATCATCCAGAAGATACAAGTATTTATGAACAGTTGTCTACTCAAAATACTTCGTATTCGTTGGCCAGACACCATCAGCAACAACGTACTGTGGGAGAGAACAAACCAGATTCCAGTGGAGGAGGAAATGAGGAAGAAGTGGTGGAAGTGGATAGGACACACACTTTGAAAACCACCGAACTGCGTCACGAGACAAGCCCTCACATGGAACCCTCAAGGCAAAAGGAAAAGAGGAAGGCGAAGGAACACACTACGCCCAGAAATAGAGAAAGATATGAGAGGAATGAACAAACATTGGACAGAACTGGAGAGGGAAGCACAGGACAGACAGAGTTGGTTGGAGAAAACTGGTTGGCGGCCTAAGCTCCATTGGGTGTAACAGGCGTAAGTAAGTAAGTTATTGTAATATTAGATGTGTAAAGAGGTTACTTCAGTATTTCAATTTATGTAAACTCCCTTGAAACGCTTTGATTCAAACTGAGTTCTTGCATGTATCCCCAGAAGTTGTGTAGAATTTATTATTAATCAAAGGTTTGAAGTGAATGAAGAAGGAATAACGGTAAGAAAAAATACTGATCACAATAAAATCAAGTAAATTAACCAAAGACTACTGATTAATGGAGAAGAATAACAATGAATGCTGAACAAATAAATTTCGAAAAAATCATAAAATTATTTTCTCTAATCAGAAGTGTGTTTGCTTTACAAAGGAAAAAAACAGTTTCACAAACAAAACGAAGAGTTTAATTAGTTAGGAGAAATCAGAATCAAATCAAATCACAGAATAAAAATTCACTTTCATTAGTCGAGAGACAAAGACAGTCTGTGAAAACTAACTTTTATGTCAGAGTACTATGCTTCTTCAAGACATTATTTTTTGGATTGTAAGTTTCCTATTTTTGTTAATAGAAAAGTTCTATCTGATTAACCAGAAAAGTAAACAGAAACGAGGGAAATAGGAACTCAATACTCATCATCTTATTCTTAACGAAGATTACATGATTTTCGTTTCGTGTATAACCTAACTGACATTAAAAGAAAAAATAGAATACAAATGTCAGATTAAACTAGAATGATAATAGATTTGTTTTTATTAAACAACAACAAAACAATCAGATTTAAGGCAACACGAAACATAAAATAGGCGAGAAAAATGTCATGTCATAGTTTATATTGAAAAATAAAAATTGAATGTTGATCAACATCAATTGAACATATAAACACAATGAAATAAATTGATAGATAGATTAATAGATAGATTTGAAAGTTTGAAGAATTAGAAAATATTATTTTTGGGGAAAAATAACAAACAAAAAAACTCTTGTATTGCATGTCAAGAATGAACTCTTTGTATATTAGTGAGATTTACTGATTTCAATCCATAGTAAATAATTTGCGCGTACATTCAAAACGTATTATAAATACTTACTTACTTACTTACCTACGCCTGTTATCTCCATTGGAGCATAGGATGCCCACCAGTTTTCTCCAATCAGCTCTGTCTGTCCTGGGCTTCCCTTTCCAGTTCTGTCCAATGTTTGTTCATTCCTCTCATATCTTTCTCTATTTCTCGGAATAGTAATGTGTTCCTTACTTGGCCTTCCTCTTTTCCTTTTGTATTCAGGGTTCCATGTAAGGGATTGTCTCGTGACGCAGTTAGGTGCTTTCCACAATGTGTGTCTTATCCACTTCCACCACTTCTTCCTGATTTCCTCCTCCACTGAAATCTGCTTTGTTCTCTCTCACAGTACGTTGTTGCTGATAGTGTCTGGCCAACGAATCCGAAGTATTTTGCGTAGACAACATATAAGAAAATTTAAGATGAAAACTAGAAAAAATTAATTCATAGAAGTTGTTCATCACCTGTTACCCAAAGAATCTCTGAGTTAACCACTCAGTTTTCAACTACAATATTTATGCCGTAGTCTCATAGATTTCATAGTCATCATTATACTACTTATTAAATTTTTTTTCAAAAATGATGATGATGGTTTTAAACAAAACACATCACAATCTGATAGATAACATAGACAACTGTTTCTGTTGCAAACTGATTCTTAATTCATATTCACTTCACTTTTTGTATCTTACTTAACAGGTCGTGCATTAAGAATTTTACGGTTAGCCAAACTCTTGAGTTTATTACGGCTCCTACGTCTTTCACGTTTAGTTCGTTATATAACACAATGGGAAGAAGTAAGTGTTATCACACTTGAATATCTCTGAAAATTTCTGTACATAATTAATTTCGTTTATTGTATTTTCACATTTGAAATCATCAATCAATAATTGTTAGACCACCATTAGAAACCTGGAAGCACTGAGAGACGGCCGTTTCGTCCTGGTATGGGACTCATCAGTGGCAATGCGCATCCACGTCTCCTGCTCCTCTCAGGATTCGAACCCGGGACCTTCGAGTATTGCAGGCGAACGCCTTACCGGTGGACCACTGGGCCAGCATCCAACGGTGTTAATGTCTAACTCTGATTGATCTAAGTTTCTAATGGTGGTCTAACAATGATTGATTGATCATTTCAAATGTGTAAAAAACGCAAACCTCCAAAACTGTGCCCCAAAATATTGTAATTTCGAAGAAATAATTTTATAACAAGTGTATTTTGTAAATGACTGATCGATTAAATATATAATATCGTTTTCAAAATAAAGTTTCGTAAATCTTGATCCAACCTAGTCGAACCTCACTAATATTTATAGTGACAATAAGGTTAGAAGTGTAATACAATTCGTGAGTTTCGTCCTAATCAGGACTCGTCTTTATTTGAATGTGCCTGTATCTTAGAGTCGAATTTCACTCCCGGCCTTGAACCATGTATGATTTGCGTTATCTACTTAGCTATTCAGTCCGGTGCAGCCATTCGTCTGTGCAGTTTGAAGCAAGTAGTTGAAAACTCATTTATATCTCAATTATAATCGAAAACATTTCTTCAGAATGACAGTGAAAGCTTTATAACTGAAGTATCCAGTGTAAAAAACTCCATGCAACTAAAACCATTTCACTTTGCGATAAATTTTATCAATCACTTCCAAATAAATAACTGAACGTTTCGATAAACAAACCATCTAAAAACTCTACCTTGTTAATTGGTAAATCTTCCATCTATGAGAGTTGTAACGCTTCATGTTGAAAGCCGAGTAGTATCTTCGGAAATCACGAGACTGATGTCCCTTCTAGAAAACCAGAGCAACTGCATGCAATTTCCGCATGTTGGGGACCGGGAGAATCATCCAACGTATTATGTAAAGGTATTAAAAATGTTTATTTATTTGCATTGTATTGATATTCTGAGCTGTGATTAATCTCTCTACTGTGAACATGGACAGTGGGACGAAGCACATCCCAATCGAGGAGTTTTAAATACAATGAAACGAACACCTAAGAATCAAGCTGTTAACTACAACATACAAAAAATATGCAACAACTTATGACAACACTAAATATCAAGGCTGGTTGATCTGTTTTCATATTATTAAATATCAACTACAGGAAATCGTCAACCGTTACTAATGAACGTTAAGGTTAACAACATTTATCATATTACTGAAAAAGAAAAACACATTTCAGTTAACAGTGTAATATTCTTGATACATAGCTTTCGAAAAGAAAAAATGTTGCTTTCATCAACCTCCTAAATTTATAAAATATGTTACTTTATACTTGATAAACAACGAAACAATGGGGTTGTTGCGAAGATTGCTAAGTTTTATTTGAAACCATGAATCGATCAATGTTAGACCACTGTTAGAAACCTGGAAGCACTGGACGGCCGTCTCGTCCTGGTATGGAACTACTCATCAGTGGGAGTGCGCATCCACTCCTGCACCCCGCAGGATTCGAACCCAAGACCTCTGGTTTTGTGCGCAAATGCCTAACCATCGGACCAGTGAGCCGGTATCTAACGGTGTTCTTAATGTCTAACTTGATCAATTCACGGAGTTTCGCAACCTCATACACAGTGTTCGGTAGTTACTGTCTACACCCGAACAGGTTGAACTTCACTGGTCACGTCTTTCCACTAGAACTCGGAGATCCCTCACGAAGCTAGTCGTCACTAGTGAGCACAGGTAATTTGCATTACGGGTTTGTTGTGAAGATTGTTAAGTTACACACTTTTGAAACCATGAATCGATCAGTGTTAGACCACCATTAGAAACCTGGAAGAAGCACTGAAAGACGGCCGTTTCGTCCTCGTATGGGACTTCTCAGTGGCAGTGCGCATCCACAACTCCTACGCCCCTCAGGATTGAATTATTCAAATGATTAAATATGTATTTTAAACATGTACAATAAATAATGACATGATGAATTAGCCACGTTTCTCAGGTTAAGTTTTTCCTCTTCTATATAAATTTAAACTAAACTGGCAAGAAACGCATTATATATATATATATATATATATATATATATATATATATATATATATGAGATGATCTAGAATTTTCCGTAAACTACTATGTAGATTAATTTGTATGTATTGGTTAGTTGAGTGTTTCCATTAATGTTTACCAGTGCAATTGATCAGTCTCTGTCTGGACTGAGGAGCTGACTAGATAACACGATGACGTTTCAGGTGAACGGTGGGTGGGTCCGAATCCCGGAGTGATCATCAACTCTGCAATGCTGGTATATTCACGGAAAAAATGTGTCTCAAGTAGGAAGAAACTTACTTACTTACTTATTTACGTCTGTTACCCCCAATGGAGCATAGGCGCCGCCCACCAGTTTCCTCCAACCAACTCTGTCTGTCCTGGGGTTCCTTCTTCAGTTCTGTCCAATGTAGCAAGAAACGCATGTTCTGAATCCCACTGCTAGTCACTACTATCAACATTGGCTAATAATAGTAATTATAATGTGTATGTTATGCCTATTTGTATATCATTTTCATGTTTTGTATTTTTCCATTTATTCTTAAGTTTATCAATATTGCAAGTAAATTCATGGGAATATGTAATCTAGTACTAATTATGCTTATATTGGGTCATTGGAATGCATGTTTACAATTTCTTGTACCAATGCTGATGGATTTTCCAGTTGATAGTTGGGTTAGTAAAGCACGCCTACAAGTAAGTAATGTCGAAATTGATTATATAGCTTATAAATGAGTAAGATTGTATTGAAAAAGAAAAAATGTGAAACAGTTAGTCATCATGACTAAGTACCATGATGCCATGATTATTTCCAGTTAAAACTTGGGACTTTTACTGATTTGATCGTGTCATATATAAAACAGTGGAGATCCGGGTAAGGAGTAACTTCCACATTAGGTTACTTACTTACTTACGCATGTTATCCCCGATGGAGCATAGTCCGCCCACCAGTTCCCTCCAACCAACTCTGTCTGTTCTGGGCTTACCTCTCCAGTTCTGTCCAATGTTTGTTCATTCCTCTCATATCTTTCATTTTCTTAACAACACCCTGTTGAAGACTTTGCCTGGTATTGAAAGAAGAGTGATGCCTGTGTAGTTCTCACACATGCTCAGATCGCCTTTCTTTAGTATTTTGATTAGGTATCTTTCTTTCCAATCTGAGGGTACTTGTTCCTCATCCCGAATCTTCTTGATGAGGATGTGAAATATTTTTGCAGTTGCTTCCACATCTGCTTTCATTGCCTCTGCTGGAATGTTGTCTGGTCCTGCTGGTTTGCCGCTCTTGATTTGTCTGATGGCCGTACTGATCTCCTCAACCGTAGGTGCGCCAATATTAATTGGGAGGTCCGAGGATGCTGCTCTGATGTTGGGTGTGTTCAGTGGAGCTGGTCGATTCGATAGTTCCTTAAAGTGCTCTACCCACCTATTTCACTGTTCGTCAGTGTTGCTGATTATTTTTCCCTTCCTTGCTTTTCACTGGTCGTTCTGGTTTACGATAGTTTCCGGCGAGCTTCTTTGTTGTTTCGTACAATTGTCTCATGTTTCCTTCTCTTGCAGCCTTTTCCGCCGTCATTGCTAGATCTTCCACATATTTTCGTTTGTCAGCTCTGATGCTCTTCTTCACCTCCCTGTTTGCTTCTGTGTATGCAGCTTGTGCGGTAACTTTCTCTGCTCTTGTTCGGCTGACATTCACTGCTGCCTTCTTGTTCCTCCTTTCTTCAACTTTTGCGAGAGTATCAACAAAGATCCATTCCGTATGATGGTACTTCTTGTGACCCAGAATTTCGTGACATGTTGAAGTGATTGCCTCCTTAATCACTTTCCAATTGTTCTCCAATGTTGCTTCCTGTCCATTGAGTAGATCCTGAAAGGCCTGGAACCTATTGGTGAGGGATATCTTGAATTCGTTGAGTTTTACGGTATCCCGAAGAAAGGCTGTATTAAACTTGTGTAATGTTGTTTGCCCCGTTGTCCAGTGCTTCTTTAGTTTCAGTTTCATTTTGGCGATCAGCAAATGATGATCTGAGACTATATCAGCTCCTCTCTTGGTTCTCACATCCTCCATGGTCCTTCTGAACGTTTTGTTGATATGGTCAGATATGGTCAATTTGGTTTTGAGTAGTGTGGTCCAGTGAAATCCATGTAGCTTTGTGTATGCGCTTGTGCGGGAATATTGTGTCACTGATGACCAGTTTGCTGAAGGCATATAGGTTTGCAAATCTCCCACCGTTTTCGTTCCTTTCTCCCAGTCCATGTCGTCCCATGATGTCTTCATATCCAGTGTTGTCCATTCCAACCTTGGCATTCAGGTCTCCTATAAGAATCGTCAAATCCTTTGGTGAGAATCTGTCGATGATTGACTGCAGCCTTTCTTAGAATTGATCTTTAACGTCATCATTATGGTCGTTGGTAGTTGCATAACATTGGATGACATTCATTGTAATGTCCTGTTTCTTTGTTTTGAAGGATGCTTTAATGATCCTGGGTCCATGAGATTCCTATCCTATCAGTGCCTATTGTGCATGTTTGGACAGCATCAGTGCAACTCCTTGTGTACGGGAAGCATTTTTCTCTTTGTGATCAGAGTATAACAGCAGTTCCCCTGAAACTAGTCTCAGTTGTCCTACCTGTGTCCAATGCGTTTCACTTATGCCGAGCACCTAGAGGTTGTATCTTTCCAGTCTCCTACAATGTACGAACGTTCCATGTACCTAAAAAACTGGTTGCTCTAGTTGTCAAAAGAGGCATCGGCCCCGTGACTTCCGAGGGAACTCGGCTTTCATCACGTGTCGTCATATTTCTTCTTGCAACTCCCAGGGCAGAGTTAAAATGGTTTGAATTATTTTTTCTGGTTAGCCTTCTTTTGGCAAGTTAGTTTTTGACGGGATGGGGTCGTCAACCCCATGTCCAACCCTCCTCCTTTATCCGGGCTTGGGACCTGCAATAGCGCCGAAGGTTCTACTGGCGAAGTTCCACATTTTATACATGGAATATAATTTCTACATGAAGGTTATCTATAAGTTTTAAGAAAGAAATATACATATTCGCTTTATTTTTTTAATATCTACTATATGACTTGATTGATCGTTGATCAGCTTTAAATATCAGCTTGAACTGTCAAGATTTTTTCCATATTTACCAATTATTGTTAAAGTTTGAAGAACATTTAGCATCTTCTTAGCCTTAAAAATGGAACTGGAAAATATAAACAAATTCATATTTTTGTGGAAACTTTTCTTCATCAAAACCATAGAAAACAATTAAGTCCCTTTTAATAAATTTTGATCGAACAATGATGAGATGAAGTAAATTGATCTGAAAAATAGTGTGTGATGTATTGGCGCTAAACACATTTCGAACAATCTGGTCACAGACATATCACACTTGTCAAGGCATTTTATATATGAAGATTAATAAAAGGTCACTTTTAATAAAAGTTCAAATAGACATAAGGTGATAAGTGTAAGAAAGAAAGGAGAGAGAAAATTAACGTCATACATGGAAAGAATCAGAAAGGGTAGGCTTAAAGATTACCGGGGTAAATTAAAGATTATCACAAATTGTTTCAGTACACATAAGGTAGGGTTTTCATTTACGAATAGCCAAGGCTTTCATAAACTTCAAAATTCGTCCTTCAACATTTCTATACAGTGTTTTGAAGGATGTCTTGATGGTCAATCTTATGCTCTGTCTCAATTATGTATTGTGTTAACATGGTTTTCTATTTCCAGTGTTGATCGGCTCATCTGACGCTAACTAATTTTGAAGCTACTTAGGTATGTGATGTTCCATAACCCTTAATTGCAAAGTCCAATTACTCCTCCCTATGTCTAATGTGTCCACACAAACATGTAAATTGATCAATACAATGGGATGTGATGTATTTCATCATTCGAGCAACATTTAGGCCTATGTGAAATCATGGGCTTGGTCTTTTCAATGAATAATCAGTTTAGCAGCCTAGTATGTTTTCTCTATGACTGCGTTTTAGTCGCTGCAATCACATTTTTTCCAGATCAACTAGGTCTTCTCTCATTGGAATACCAATCAGAATTTACTATCGTTCATAGAAAATATAATCGAGTTTACTTATTCTCAAGGTAGCCATTATAGACCGGTAACCATAAATCTATTGTACAATTTCAAAAGGATTTATTTGTTATAAACGACTAAAAATGCTTATTTCTTATTTGTTAACTTTTATTGCTTTGGCTTTAAAGAATGCTTATTGGTTTGAACAATATACATGGGCTTTGTTTAAAGCACTATCACACATGTTATCGATTGGTTATGGACGTTATCCTCCAAGTACACTGCCAGAAGCATGGATTACTATTATAAGTATGATGACAGGTGCTACATGTTATGCTCTATTTGTTGGTCATGCTGCAGCATTAATACAATCTTTCGATGCATCTAAACGTAAATATCGAGAAATGGTAAGTTATACGAAAAGGAATAGATTTTCTCTTTGAGTTAAATATACTTATTATGTATAAATATATATATTGCGGTTGTGGAGATAGTTCACCTACTTTTTGAAATCATCAATCAATCATTGTTAGACCAGCATTAGAAACCTGGAAGCACTGGAAGGCCGTTTCGATCCTAGCATGGAACTGATCAGTGGTCGTACGCATCCACAACTTTCGCTACGCGCAGCGATCGGACCCTCAACCTTTGGTCCTGCGAACGAATGCTTAACCTCTAAACAACTGAGTGGGCATCCAATGGAGGTTAATGTTTGACTTCGATCAATCTACAATTATGCGCAACCTTATACACTGTCTCCAGTAAGCACTATTTCACACCCGATCAGGGTTGGATTCCATTGGTCACGACTTCTCACTAGAACTCGGAAAGGATTCTTCACAGAGTTAGTCACTAGTAAGCCAGGTAATTTGCATTACGGGGTTGTGGAGATTTATGATTAACTTTTTAAAAGCATGAATTGATCGATGTTAAACCACCAAGGCCGTAGGTCCTGTCTTCGAATCCAACGAGACGTAGGAGTCGTGGATGTTGAGTCGCATACCAAGACAAAACGGCCGTCGAATGTTTCCAGGTTTCGATTGGTTGATTGAAATTCATGATTTCAAACAATATATGTGTACATCAATAACGTATAATTTTAACTCTATCGAAAATTTCCATGAATTTAAAACCCTAATATATATATAATTGAAGAATATCCTTTTAAATTAGTTCTCTTCAGGTTCTACAATTGTCAACCCAAATAAATATTCCAAAAAAAGGGGCCAGATTCATGAAAAAATAAACAGTTTAAAATTTTAGCATTCTTTTCTATAAAATTCCAGTTTTTATTAAATCCGAATAGCGATTGCTTTGGCGATTTGAAGGCTTTATAACTAAACCAATTTTCCGATTATCTTTTTGGACAGAATTGTAAAAATTTGAAGAACGGAATATATTTTTTTATTCAATATATTAGCTGTTTAATAGTAAATTATTGTATTCACCAACTCTGTGAATATGTCGCACAATCTCGACCGGCGTCATAAACTCTCACGTTTTCCAATTCAATAATTGAAGCACAATAAACCCAGATATTTTTTTATTTTGACCAATTAGGTCTCGTTCGCTGTTACGGGTATCAGGGGGCGGTTGTCACATCCCGGCTGCCAACACCGTGGAAGGTTGTTTCCAGAAGAACATGAAAAGGAAGATAGATAAGTGTTGGTCTTGAAGACCTAGGTGCGTGATCGCAGAGCCCAAGGAACGACTGCTTGAGGCTGGTCACGCGCCGCCTTTTGATGAGAGGTTTTTGAGTATTAGCTGCGCTCTTAAAAGCCCTTAGCGGGCAGCCCTTACCGACCAAGACGGAAACCCGTGAGATAGGGTGAGGTGTGACACTTTTAGGATCGACCTTTTCTAACCCTTCCTTCCTTGTGAGAAGGCAGCATCGCTGCAGAAGCTGGTTGTCCGAGGGCAACACCTTACTGCTGTCACACCCCTCCACAGTCAGCAGTACGACTTCGCCCTCAGACCTTGAGTAGCTGCTTTTAGTCTCATCGTTCTCCAATCGACCTGCCCGGCATGGTAGAACCTTCAGGGACATATGTTCCAGCCAGTATAGTTCGGTTGGGTTATCACGATAGGCAAGGCCGACCACCACATCAAGGTAGCACCTTCGGTCGGGATAAAGCCAGATAATAATTAGTCAGAGATGCTTACCGTTTTTTTTTCTAAAACAAAAAACTGATTCACGGTAATTATATTTCCAAAATAATAGAACAAAATGAATAAAATTCTTTTTTTATTTAGTACGTATAAAATCAATCCACAACAGATAAATGAATAGTGAAAAGAAAATTTGCAGAAAATTGTATCATTTTTCATTTTAAAATTCTACTTGGTTTGAATTTTGTATTCAAAATTAAAATACTTAGTAGTACTGTCATGTAGTGAAGGAGAACACAGGTGAGGGTAATCGAATTGTATTTATCCCAAATTACAGAGTTGATTGGTAAAATTAATAAAACCATATCGTAAATCGTTAATTTGCAAAATATCAATCCATCATATCGAACTGGACTGTTCCTGTTGCAAAACATCAATCCATTGTCACTCACTATTCATACGTTTCATACAAATTCCATTGTTTTCTTCTAACTCTTCCTTTCTTAATCTTCCCCCATCTTCTGCTGCCAGAGATTACGTTGACAATCACGTCATATACTACTTATAAGTAGCTCGCACCACAGTACATTCTTTGTTCAAAAACAAAAGACAACCTGATATTCATTCTTCATATAAAATTAATTAATTTGAACTTTTGTTAAAAAAAAATAAAAAAAGGCAACTAACTAACTAACTCACTATGGGGTAAAATGTTCAAGTAATCTAACATTGATCGATTCATGGTTTCAAAAAGTGTAACATAACAATCTTCACAACAACACCGTAATGCAAATTACCTGTGCTCACTAGTGACTAGCTTCGTGAGGAATCTTCTCCGAGTTCGAGTGGGAAGACGTGACCAGTGAAGTTCAACCTGTTCGTGTGTAGACGGTAACTACTAACGAAGACTGTGTATGAGGTTGCGCAACTCCGTGAATTGATCAAGTTAGACATTAACACCGTTAGATACCGGCTCAGTGGTCTAACGGTTAGGGCGTTCGCGCACAGTACCGAAGGTCCTGGGTTGGAATACTGCGTGGTGCAGGAGTCGTGGATGCGCACTTCTGATTAGTCCCATACCAGGACGAAACGGCCGTCCAGTGCTTCCAGGTTTCTAATGGTGGTCTAACACTGATCGATTCATGGTTTCAAAAATGTGTAACTTAACGATTTTCACAACATCCCCGCAATGCAAATCTTTTTTTTCTCCTATTTCTCACTTCTATTACTGATTTCATATGAAAATGACTAGTTTAGAAATACTGAAATTTAACATTTTACTGAAGAACTATGAAGAGTAGAGAAAAATATTTTTTTGTTGTCTCTCTAGAAATAATATAAACGGTTCACACTTCTTAACAATAAATTATTGTAGTCACGAAATTCTCCTTTATATATATATGTTGTTAGTTGTTTTATTTTATAACAAGTGGTTAACAATTGCTCTATTTTGACAAGTATTTTGTTCATAAAAAAATTTCGGTTGACCTGTACATAAGTATTTCTATTTCATTATATTCTTTGGATAAATTAGAATAGCGAGCGACCAACTTATTCGAAATGATATTTGATATGGATGGGCCAATCAGAAGTAGTAGACAAAAATGAGATGGTTATTGAGTGCCCATAGAAATATGACCCTGAAAAACAAGTGCAGATCATTGATTGGCTAAGAAATGTATGCACGCACATCAGTGAATAGCGCTATGTGTATTAGGAAAACCCATCAGACTTTCTGTTCTCATTCTTGTCTTCTACCTCATTAGCATTAAGGGGTTGTGAAGATTGTTAAGTTACACATTTTTTGAAACTATGAATCGATCAATGTGAGACCACCATTAGAAACCTGGAAGCACTGCAGGACGGCCGTTTCGTCCAGGTATGGGATTCCTGAACAGTGCGCATCCACGACTCCTGCACCCCACAGGATTTCAACCCAGGACCTTCGGTATTGTAGGCGAATGCCCTAACCGTCGGACCACTGAGCCGGTATCCAACGGTGTTAATGTCTAACTTGATTAAATTCACGGAGTTGCGCAACCTTATACAAAGTCTTCGGTAGTTACACTGTCTACACCCGAACAGGTTGAACTTCATTGGTCAAGTCTTCCCACTTGAACTAGGAGAAGATCGCTCACGAAGCTAGTCACTAGTGAGCAGAGGTAATTTGCATTACGGTGTTGTGAAGATTGTTAAGTTACACATTTTTGAAACCCGTGGGTGCTCACTGCTGATGAGTAGTCCCATACCAGGACGAAACGGCCGTCCAGTGCTTCCAGGTTTCTAATGGTGGTCTAACACTGATTGATTCATGGTTTCATAGTTCTATCTCATTAGTCAATTGGAGAAAGAGAAGTGCTTAGTATTTTTTTGTTAGATCTTAGACATTGTACATTAAGAGTCAGAGTCAGATGCAACGTAGAACTTCGTACGTAAGTATATCAGTTCATGTCGCCATACCACATCAGCACAGAGATGTAATTGTCAAGTCAAATCACATAGTAGAAGAGGTAGTAAAGGTATAAGGAGTAATCGGAGAGGTTAGGATTAGAAGATATTATTCAAGAAGTATGATTCAGTGAGAAAAGTTTAGAAAGTCAAAACTAGAGTTGTTGAAGGACCCAGAAGATTAGGATTTGAGAGAACACAAAGAATAAATGCACCGGCGCCATTGCGAACGATTTTGAGCCATGTCATTCAAGGTCTCTAACCATCGATTATTATCATCTCGCGGACCCCAACCAGGTAGTCGACAACTACCGACATGACTCAGTCCACTTGTTAGTGACTTCATGGATTTGTGCCATGTTTTGGTCTGGCCGCCCCTAACTTTCTTCCAACCTACTCCTACACTACAAAACAAAGCTGTTCGAGGCAGTCGGTGATTAGGCATACAGAACACATGTCCCAACCATCTCAATAACTGAAATTCCAAAGTTTTCTCTTAAAAAACCGATCTAGACTTCTTCAGTATAATCAGTTAAATCGAACTAAAGAAATAATAATTTAAAGTTTGGAAGAACTTATTCACTCATATTCCGATTTGGATTTGATAAGATAAGAGAAGAGAAGATATGAATCAGTAAGATAATGGACAATTGGTGAGTAATGAGAATAAGTTCACAAATGGAGAAAAGAACAGGTGAATATTATATTTACTCCTTTTAAACGGTTATTTACACTGCATCTTTTCTGTTTAGACTGTTCTGACGACCTCCATACATGCACGGCTCTGTTTATATTAATCTTTCTTCTTGTGCGCCTAAAATCCTATCTGAAGTATTTTGATTTCTTCTAA